GGTTTCCCAGAAAGTAATTAATGACTTTTTGATGTGCCATAATTAGCTTAATTGACCATCCTTGCATATCTGCATGTGATGTTTGAAATGTTTCCTCAAGATAAAGCCTTGCGTCTACAACTGCCAAGATCATCGAAATATGGCAACTGACCTTTTGATGAGGCCCTAGGTAAAGGCAAGAGATTTGCATTCCGGTCCCTTTTGCTCTCACTCACTGGCATAGGTTTCTTTCATTATCTGGTCTCTGTTTTTCCCATCAAGGAAGTAATACTACATAGTAAGAGTGTTCCTGGTTGGTGCAAATGGCTGAGCACTTGACCAGCAGCTGAAAGGTTGGTGATCAACCCACCGAGGGTTGCCTCCAAGGACAGACCTGATAATGGGCTTCCAAAATCCCACAGCACCTTCAGAACCCAGTGGAGTGGTTCTGCTCTACACACACAGGGTCTCCAAGAGTCGGAATTGACTCAATATTATCTGGTAATTAAAATCCCGGCTGCTTGAATCAAACTAGTCGAGTTTAGAAGTCAGCTCCTCTACTTACTAGCTGAATAACTTTGGAAAAGTGACTTTATCACTCTACTAATATCCACAATATTCTTATCTGTCAAATGGGGAATGATATTTATAAACAGAAGAACACAGTGAGCCAATACATGTCTAGCACTTAACACAGTCCCCAGTACACTCAAAGTCATTGCCATCACATCAGAACCTATTCATACATGGCCCTCCAGCCTTTCCAGAGAAGGACAATCACACAGGAATTCTCCTGCAGAGCTGGTGGATTCAAACTGCCTGTCTTTGGGTTGACAGCACAGCTCCCTACTCTCTAGACTACCAAAAGTCCCTAAGGACAACAGGAAAAGGGAGTAAAGAGCAAGGCTATAAATATAATAATACGAACATACAGGAAAAAGAAATGAAGAATGAGTAGTTGTGCTGTCACTTGATGTGCTGTCTAGTCAGCTCCAAGGCATGTTCATTCCATGAACAGTATGTCTGAACTTTGCCCTAACCTGCACCAACACCATGATCTCCAACATGCTCACGTCCACTAAGATAGTCACTGTATCAGTTTATCTTGTTGAGGATCTCCTCGCTTTCAGTGATCCTTTGCCTTGCCTGGCACGATTTCTTTTTTCCAAGAACTGTCAGTTCTTCCCAATAACATGCCCAAACTATAGGAAATGAAGTTTCACAATGAAATGAATGAGTTAGAGATTGTATTAAATTCTTAAATACCAAATTAGGTAATAGATGAGTCAGAGGGTTGTTGTTGTTGCTGCTGTTGTTAGTGTTATTAGGTACCATCGAGTCAACTACAACCAACATGGATCCTACGAGCAACAAATCTGAGCCTTGTATCTGAAGCCATCTTCATCATCTTTAATACACTTGAGCTAAGTGTTACAGTCACTGTGTCAATTCATCTCATTGAGGGTCTTCCTGTCTTTCCCTGAGCTTTCACCTTTCTGAGCATGATGTCCTTGTACCAGCCCCTCCTAGTAACAAGCCCAAAGTATAGGAGGCAAAGCTTCACCATTCTTGCCTTCAAAGAGCACCCTGGTTTCACTTTCTCCAAGACGTATTTGTTTGCTCTTTTGACAGTATCTGAGATATACAGTACTATTTTCCAACACCACAATACAAAGATATCAATTCTTCTGTCATCCAGCATTCAGGTGCATAGTAAGTAATTGAAAAGGTATAGCTTAAATAAGGCACACTTTAGTCTTTAAACTGGCATTATTGCTCCTTAACACCTTAGAGAGGTCCTTGAGAACAGATTTTTCCCTATGCAATACTTCTGCTTTCTTGACTGCTGGCACCAGCAGGGGTTAAATGTGGATCCAAGTAAAATGAATTGCTGACAATTTAATCTTTTCTTCCATCTCTCATGATGTTGTATATTGGCCCCATAGTGAATGGTTTTGTTTTCTTGATGTTGAGATATAATCTATATTGAAGATTGTAGTTTTTTATCTTTTGCAGCAGGTTTTGCAAGGTTGTGTGATCTGCGTAACACAAGTTGTTGATAAGTCTTCCTTCAATCCTGATGTCACATTTTTCTTCATACAGCATTCTTCTTCATTCAGCTTTTTTAATTATTTGGTCAGTATACATACTGAATAGAAATGGAGAAAATTTGCAACCTTTACACACACACCTTTCTTGATTTTAAACCAGGTAGTGTTTACTTACTTTACTCACACAGCAGTTTCTTGGTCTAGGTATCAGTTTCACATGAGTACAATTAAGTGTTCCGGGATTCCCACTCTTCTCAATGTTATCCATAATTTATTATGATCCAACAGTCAAATGTTTTGCATAGTCAATAAAGCACAAAAAGGCACTCTTCTGATAATCCTTTGTTTTCAGCTACTATCCATCAGCAATGATATCCCTGGAGCCATGGTCTCTTCTAAATTCAGCATGAACTTTTGAACATTCTCTGTCAATTTGTGGATAATCCTCAACAAGATTTTACTTGCATGTGATGTTAATGATACTATACAATAATTCTGTTGTATCATCTGTCTTGGGAATTGGAGCATATATAGATTCTTCCTGTCAATTGGCCAGATAGCTGTCCTCAAGATTTCTCACCACAACTTGGTGAGCACCTCCACCTTCAAAGCTGCATCTGTTTGTTGAAGCAACTTGTTTGGTTATCTCACTAATTCCTGAGAACTTGTTTTATGCTTACTAGTCAAGTACATATTAGTTGATAAAACTAATTTATTCCCCAACCATTTATAGAATTACAGAGAACCCAATAAAACAACCTGGAAAAACTCCTACCATATAGTAGGTGATTGGTAAATTAAAGCTCCCTTCATGTTAATCAAACACTGTATATATATACTGCTTGGAAGTTTAATTCATGAGAATAGAGAAAATTACAAAACAACTATGAGATATCATCTCACCCCAGTCAGAATAGCAAAATTTAACAAAACAGCAAACAACAAATGCTGGTGAGGTTGCGGAGAAACTAGAACCCTTATTCACTGTTGGTGAGAGTGTGAAATGGTGCAACCACTATGGAAGGCTCTATGGTGCTTCCTCAAAAAGTCGGAAATAGAAATACCTTTTGACCCAGTAATTCCACTACTGGGAATATACCCTAAAGAGACCATAATTGACATCCAAGCAGATATATGCACACCCATGTTTACTGTGGCTTTGTTCACAATAGCAAAGAGCTGGAAACAACCCAAGTGCCCACCAACAAATGAATGGATAGAAAAGCTGTGATATATTCACACAATGGAATATTATGCTGCACTGAAAAACAAGGAACTCATGAATTATTATACAAAATGGATGACCCTGGAGGACATTATGCTGAGTGAACTATCTTAGTCACAAAAAGACAAATACGGAATAATGTCACTCTTATAAAACAGGACTGACAGGGGGCTGGGAGAAACTAAGAAAAGAGGGCATAAATAATCTGTGCTGCATTGAAACAGACAAGGGACAGAACTGTATAAAAGGAACATATGATTAGATATTATTGGCTTGACAGTGTCCGGAATAAGAGCTGCATAGTAAAGTGGTCTGGGGGACTGTATAACAATGAAAGAATTTTCCCCCCAAGAAAAAAGTGATCTGGGGGGGCAGGGAGGAAAATGTGCAACAATGAACGATTGTGAACCCATGTTCTTTATAAGCTTTCATTAAAATCTCAATTAAAAATAAGAGGGAAAACAAGAAAGCATTTGCAATGAATAAATTATTGATTGTACAGAAAAAATAATAGAGGAAATTAATAATAACTCATAAAGTTTGGTTCATAGAGAATGCTCAAAACCACTTGCCATTGATTGTGATCAATAGTAACCCTACAGGACAGAGTAGAGCATCTTAGAGTCTGCAGTGGTGTCAGTCTGTCCAGAGACAGAACGTGACCTTCTTCCAGGGGTGCGGCTCTCAGTGTTTAGCCGAGTGCTTTAACCACTGCACTGCTCTCTGTTTACCTAGACAGGGCCTTACAGAACATGTAAGGAAGCCAAAGAAAAGGAAGTGTTTACATACAAACACATAATATATGCAAGAAACATATACTGATTTTTTTAATGCTATCTTTAAAAAGTAAGAATAAAGAGAACTATATGGTACAGTAGTTTAGAGCAAGTTGTACTGCTAACCCACAGGCACATGACTCCAGTGGTTCGAATCCACCAATGGCTCTGTAGGTGAAGGATAGGCGTTCTCCTGTTTCAATTTACAGCCTCAGAAACCCAACAAAAGATCACTATGAGTCAGAACCAACTCAACCATGAGAGACAGAGAGAGTGAATAAAATGAAGGTAAACGGCACTTCTGATAGGATGGCAGACTAGACAGACAAAGTACCCAGACTTTCTATTAAAAAAAAAATTGAAACAGGTAGAGATGGTAGCCCTGGAACCCAGAGCATCAAAGGAAAGATTGCAGAGTACGTCACATACCAAATACAAGGGGGGAAACTGAGCAAACACAGTGAATGGAACCCAGGGGAACAATGAATCATCAGCTGACCTGGCACAGTGGAGACATTTTGAATTTTTGTGAACAGCATTCTGATTAGCAGGATAACCTGGTAATTGGTTCAGATCACCCACAACTGCCTGAGCATCGACCCAGGTAGCTGGTCTCCCCACACCCTCTTTGTGACCAGAAGTATGGCTATCTCCCATCCTCACCACCTGATAACCTGGAAAACCACCTCCACCTTGGCTCCTCCTGGGACCTACACTGCCTGAGAGTCGCACATTCTGGCCGCACTTCTTCTAAAACAGACGTATTCTTTACTACAACAGCGTGCGATTCTACAATGATCTCAATAACGTTTCCACTGAAACATCTCTTCCATTGTAAGAGAAGGGGTGCTGTCCCCTCCCCTCTTCTGTGACATCAGAATTCCTAGTGACCAGAGAGTAAGAAGGGAAGGCCTCCATCTGCTGTCAGGTGGGGGTGCTCTGTTCCCCCCAGGAAACCTGACCGAGGCCATGGCAATCCAACAGGTGGGCAGAAGCCCACCGCCGGCAGCAGGACTGTTAGAAAGAAGGGGCAGCCGCACTGAGGACAAAAAGCAGGTGAGGCCAGCCTGGGGATACCTCTTTTTCTCCATGCCCAGGTTCCCTTTACTCCTCCAGTGAAACTTTCAAAGATCAAGTAATGGGGCTTCAGCCCAACTCTCCCAGGAGTACAGCACAGGGGATGAAGAATTATAGGCAGACCTCAGAGACACTGAAGTTTCCGTTCCAGACCCCTGTAGCAAAGCAATTATCTCAGTAAAGTGAGTCACGTTTTGTTTGTTTACCAATACATTTAGAAGTTATATTTACACTATTTTCTAGCCTGTGGAAGGAACTCTTGATGTTGAGATGGAATCCATACACCGAGAGTTCCTGTAACAGACTAGGCTATAGTTGGTTTTGAGTTTTGCCGCATTCTCTAGTTCCTTCTTGGAGACTTGCAGTGCTGTTCACGTAACAAAACCTCTAAGAAGTCTGGTACCAAAGAAACCTGCTCAACGTGGTTACCACTGCATCTCCCAAATGATTCCACCATAGACAGAGCCTGCCATTGTCTTTTTAAAAGAACTTCCAAGATATTTACAAAGTTCCTTTGGTATGGTATGCATCTCAACATCCTGAGGATAAAAAATCCTCACCACTGGACCAATAAGCAACATTATGAAAGAAGGAGAAATTATTGGAATTGTCAATTATTTCATCTTACTCAGATCCACAATCGATACACTTGGTACCAGCAGCCAGCAAATCAGGAGAGGGTGCTGAGAAGCAATGATGTTAGTGTGAAGATTAAGGTGCACCTGATTCAGGCCACGGCCTTTTCAATCACTTGCTATGCATCTGAGAGCTGGACAATTAATAAGAATAATGGAAGGGAAAAAAAGAATAATGGAAGAAAAATTGATGCCTTTGAATTGTAGTATTGGAGAAGGAGATCGAATATCCCGTAGAATGCCAAAAGAACAAACAAGAATGTCTTGGAGAAAATGCAACCAGAGTGCTGTTTGGAGGCAAGGATGGCCAAGCTTCATCTCACATACTTTGGACATGTTGTTAGAAATGATTCCTTGAAAAGGGACATCATTCTTGGGAAGGTGAAGGGTCAATGAAAAAGAAGAAGGCTCTCGATGAGATGAATTAACACAGTGATGGTAGCAATGAGCTCAAGTGTGTCAGAGATGATGCAATGGCACAGGATAGGACAGGGTTCATTCAGATCCACTGTACATGGGTTCACTGTACTCGACCCAATGGCACCTAACAACAACAATATCAGTAAAGGAACTCTGGTGACATTGGGCATTAAGTGTTGCAGTGCTCACTGAAAAGTTGGTAGTTATAGCCATTAGAATTAGAGCACCACAGCAGTGAATTTGGTTTGGATTTTGGTCACTCTTTAAAAGGAGGTGGCATAGTGTGCTATGTGTTAGAGTTGTAACCTAAAGGCCAGAACTTCAATCCACCAGCTGTTCAGAGGGAGAGAGATGGGCAGTCTCTTCCTATAAGTATTGACAGCTTCACAAACCTGAACGAGGGTTGCCATGATCAAAATTGGCCTGACAACAATGGGTAGCATTCCGAAAAAGTTAGAGATAGTGTGAGAACAGCACAATGAGACACAAAGTGAGCACATCTCCGTTTTGGGAAAACGGCACTGAAAGAGTTGTTCAATGCAGAGTTGCTACAAAACTTCAATTTGGAAAAGTAAATGCAGTATTTGCAAAGTGCAATATAGTAAAGTGTAAAAAGATAAAATATGTCTATGCAGACTCTATTTATGCCTCGCGCTGCCAGCAGAACACACACTTCAGAAGGGAAGGTTTTCTGCCTTGTTTTCTGCTCTGTCCCCAACACCTGCCTAGGATGGTGCTCAGTGAATGAATGAACTAAAACAAACAGGAGAATGTACCGAAAGCAGGGAGCCTCGGTGAAAGAGGAAAACGTGAGCACTTCCCGCACACAGCCTGCTGCTTTCCACCCTCTCCCTCTTTCACCACTGACAACATTCCTGAGAGGCAATGATTACCAATCTCTCTCACAGGTGGGTAAAAAGAGGCTGTTACTGTTGTTAGATGCCATCTCATAGGTTCCAACTGGTAGTGACAGTATGAACTACAGACTTGAATCCTGACCTATCCATCCTCATATCTGATACACTGAGCCCATTGCTGTAATCACTGTGGGGCTCTTCCTCTTTTTTTCATTGACCTGCCACTTTCCCAGGCATGATACCACTTTCCAAAGAACCACCTCTCCTAGCAATGTCCAAAGTATGAGAGATGAAGCTTCATCAACTATGCATTCAAGGGGAATTCTGTTGCACTCTTCCCAAGGTGTATCTTTTGTTCTCTTGGCAATGCATGGGATATTCAGTGCTCTTCTCCAACACCACAACACAAAGGCATCTGTTCTTTATCTGACATCCTTATTCATTGCCCAGCTCTCAGATACATAGAAAGTAATTACAAAGACCATGGCCTGAATCAGACAGACCTTAGTCCTCAAACTGGTATCATTCTCTTCAGTATTTTGGCAGCAGACTTGCCCATGGTAATACATCTCCCTACCAAGGATGTTGATTGAGGATCCAAGCAAGATGAAATAATTGAGTTTCAAATCTTTCTCTATCTATCATGATGATTTTGCCTGTTGGCCCCAGTGGTAAGGACATTTGCTTTCTTAATGTTGAGATGCAGTCCATACTGAAGGCTGTACTCTTTGATCCTCTGTAGTAAGTGTTTCAGGTCCTTCTCACTTTGAGCAAGCAAGGTTGTCATCTGCACAGTGTATAGGGTTGATGAGTCTTCCTCTGATCCTTATGCCACATTCCTTTTCATAGAGTTCGACTTCATGAATTATTTGCTCTATATATAGATTAAGAGTGGAGAAAGGATACGTCCCTAATGCACACACATTCTCTGATTTTAAACCATGCAGTGTCCCTTTGCTATGTTGGGACAACTGCATCTTGGCCAGTGTACTTAGCTTTGTATAAGCATGATTATGTGTTCAAAAATCTCCATTCTTCTAAACGTTAGTCACAGTTATTTGTGATCCACAGTCAAACGCCTATGCATAGTCAATAAACACAAAGAGACATTCTTCTGGTATTCTCTGCCTTCAGCCAAGATCCATCTGACACCAGCAATGATTTCCGTAGTTCTACATCTCTTCTGAACCCAGCTTGGACTTCTGGTAGTTCCCCATCCATATACTGTTCCAGCTACTTTCTTATAATCTTCAATAACATTTTACTCACATAAGATAAAATGAAAATTTTTATAATTTCCGTATTGTATTGTATTACCCTTCTTGGGAATGGGAACAGCTATGAATCTCTTCCAGTCAGTCAACTAGACAGCTCTTCTTCAAATTTCCTGGCATAGACTGATGAGCACCTTCATGGTTGCATCTGTTAGCTGAAAAATGTCAATTTCCCACTTATTCCTAGGGCCTTATATTTTGCCAGTATCTTCAATACAGCTTGAAGTTCTTCATTTGTTACCATTGGCTTTTGTTCATATGATACTTCCTGAAATTTTTCAGTGTTAACCAACTCTTTTTAGAACAATGTTTCTGTGTATTCCTCCCATCTTTTGATGCTTCTTAATCAGTATTTTGCCATGACATCTCAGTATTACAACCTGATGCTTGAATTTGCTCCTCAGTTCTTTCAGCTTGAGAAATACTGAGAAAATTCTTTATTTTTTTACTCTCTGACTCCAACTCTTTGCACATTTCATGGTAATACTTTGCTTTGTCTTCTCAAGCTGTCCTTTGAAATATTATATTCAGTTCTTTTACTTTGCCATTTCTTTCCTTTGCCTTGGCTTCTCAATTTTTATAGTTTCATAGCAATTGTCAATGTTTTCTCAGACGTCCTTTTTTACTTTTTCTTCCTCCTCTGTCTTTATAATGACTTTATGTTCTCTTCATGTATGGTGTCCTTGATTTCACCTTATAGCCCTTTTGGTCTTCCAACATTAGTGATCAATGTCTCAAATCTGTTCCTTTTTTTATTATTATTCTTTTTCTTCTAGTTTATTTACAAAATTCAAATACATTGTTTTCAAGAACAAATTCTTTCAATTTCCCTCACCTCCCACCCATCAAATTGTACAACCCCATGATTGATCCCCCCATCCCCCTGCCCATCCTCATCCCTCTGTTTCCAACCTTTCCTACCCCTCTTGGATCCTTATGCTCATTCTACAATAACGGTTTTATACAATATTTATCCTTGTGGGACTGAGTTCACTCAGCATAATACTCTCCAGTCCCTACCAAATTAGGTAATAATTTACAAATCATTGCTCCTGCATACTGCATAGTATTCCACTGTGTGAGTGTACCATAATTTCTCAATCCATTCGTTTGTGGTTGGACATTTGGGCTGTTTCTATATGCTTGCAATGGTGAATAATGCTGCTGTGAACATTAGCGTACAAATCTCTGTGCCTCAGTTCTCGTTTCTCAGGGTATAATTTCGAGTAGTGGAATAGCTGGGTCATAGGGAATTCCTATATTCAGTTTTTTGAGGAAGCACCCAACTGCCTTCCAGAATGGTTGTACCGTTTTACAATCCCACCAACAATGTATAAGAGTTCCTTTCTTACCACATCCTCAGTAGATTTTTTTTTAATTCAGGTGAGATAGACTTAAGGTCATATTTGCTTCCTATGCATTTGTTTTCATTTCTTCAGTCTCAACTTTAACCAGCGTATGAGCAATAAGTGGTCTGTTCCACAGTCAACACCTGGCCTGGTTCTAATTGTTTGTATTTGGATTCTCCAACAATTGTTTTCACAGATATAGTCAATCTGACTCCTGTGCAGTCCCTCAGGTGAGGTCCAAGTGTAAAGTTGCCTTTTGTGTTTTTTAGAAAAGGTATTTTCTATTCCTATCCCTCACCCTCCACCTGTCTTGTGATTTCAGTGCTGCCTTGAGCTCTGGTGTCATTTACCTGTGGAGCGGGGATTTCTGAGGACTCTTTGTGCTAACCTGCTTCTTTGCCTGTAAAGACTCGAAGGCACATAACAACAACAACAACATTTTCT